GATAAGCAGGGCACCTGAAGCCTAAAAGCAGAGCCTCATCCCACAAACCTTGAGGAGATACGCTGTCCCCTGCTGTGTTTGATAATAAAGACACCACAACAAGGTCGATGTGCTAATAAGAAACTTAAGTAGCCATGATTCTCGAAAATACATTTCTGACTAAATATGAGGCTTGGCCCACACAACCTTTTGCCTGGGCAACACTTCCCACTGGAACCTCACAACTACAACTTGTAAAAACCCCATATTAAATTATCACATGTGTGGCATTACATTTTAGTATATAAAGCAATTCTGGGAATAGGCAGGCATTTCGTGGAAACTGTACTTATGCTTACATGTTGAAGCGTATGGGATTTGTGTGCTTTACATGCTGGGTGTGCATGCTTGGGGAATCAGAGCTGCCATAAAGTCAGCTTTCTAACCTGTCACTCAGGCTGTCAAGTTTGATGGCTGGATTCCTACAACCAGTGGAGCTCACATATGCACCCATGTTTTAGTTTTCAGTTACCAGTTACATACAAGAGAGGGGAAAAAAAAAAAAGTCAAGCTGATTTGCCTCATCCAGAAATACTTCAGGGAACATTTCAGACAGATTTTATGGAAAGAGAAATAAGCTCTGAATCCCCTCCAGGCAACTGCATCTTTTGGAGTATTTCAGCAAAGCAGTATCCATCTCCTTCACAAGCAGAAGAATCACAGAATGGCCTAGGTTGAAAAGGACCACAATGATCACCTCGTTTCAATCCCCCTGCTACGTACAGGGCTGCCAATCACTACACAAGGCTGCATAGACCCACATCCAGCCTGGCAGAAGACTGACTTCACAGACTCTACCTCAGGCTGTGGTTGTAGTTTCTCTATGATTGCTTGTCCTCTAATTCAAACAAAAGTCCCCGTCAATACCTGCAGAGAAAACCTCCAGGACAAACAGGATCATTACAAGAAACTGAAATGATGATTCACTACTTCTTTCAAGTCGAGGGTACCGTGGTTGGGGGGGGGGGGGGGGGGGGGAGGGAGGGGGCAGACACTGGCTTTCTTAAAAATGTAAATAAGACCCCAGCACATCAGTTACTAAGCAGTACCACCGTGCAGTGCTCTATATCGATAACAAGCACACTGAAGCACAGCTGAAGCTGCACTTCGTTTGCAGCGCAAATTTTACGATCTGTCAAAAAAGACAACTTCCCTAAAATACAAATGCTCGCCGTGGCGTTCTCGATTTTTTTGTTGTCGTTTGGGTTTTTTGGGTTTTTTTTTGTTTTTTGTTTTTTTTTTTTTGTTTTGTTTGGCTTTTTTTTTTTTTTTTAAGGTACGTTTTTAATCAAGATAACGACCGGCTCCTCATCGCTCTCAGGAAGGTGACTGCGCACGCTCTCCGTAGCCCCGCCGGCAAGCGAGCAGCCACCTCCCCCGCCAGCCTGAGTCAGCCCAACCGGGCAACGCGGCAAGAGCTCGGCCCGGGCCCCCTCCCGAGCCGGCACACAACCATGGGGAGCGAGAGTTCGGAGGGTTGCGGCCGCCTCAGCGACCGCCCCGCAGGGAGCGGACCCTGGCCCCGCGCAGCTCCGGCGGGCAGCAGCCGCTTCGTCACCGGCGCGGGCCCCGGCCCCGCGGCCTGACGCCGCAGACCGCGGCAGAGATCGCGGCGGGCCGCGCTTCCCTCGCTCCCGGCCGCCCCTCACCTGCCGGATGCTGCTGGTTTCGGCAACGGAGAACTCCTCTTTCTCTTTGGGAGTCTTCACCGTGACTTTGATGATCCGCGGCTCGTCGGCAGCTGAGCCCCGAGCAGGGGACTCCGGGGCGCTGCGGCTCCCCGCGGGGCTGTCTGCGCCGTCCGACATGGTGAGCGGGACCGGGCCAGCTCCTAACGCGCGGCAGCTCCGCACAAGCCCAGCCACCCCTAGCGCTCGCCTCGCCCCACCGGGCTCTGCCCGCTCCCGCAGCGCCGGGCGGAAATACCCCAGCCTGGCCGCGGCGCGCACTGATGACGCAACGCTTCGGGGAAGTTACTAGAAAGGGGCGCTGCCTGCCCGGGCGGGGGCTGGACAGGGAGTGTGCGCTGTGCGCATGCTCGACGCCCGCGCAGGCGCAGTTGGTCGCGCACACCCCCACCGGGGAGGCGGTGCGGGGCTGCTGGCCTGGGTTTGCCTTTCAGTTTCTCGCTCTGTGCCGCTTTATGGGCAGTGAACATCGAGCTGTTTACTGTTCTAGAATCCCTGCGGCACCACTCCATTGCCGGGGGCACGCTTTTCTCGATCTTGGGCCAAGTAAACTTAATCACTAATTAAATCTAGCGTCACCAAGCCAGACTTTATTTAATTCGAGATAATCCTAAATTCAAGATTCCTGTTTCTCTTTTGGCGTGAAACGTGAGCCTGGCTTTCCGTTCCACACCAAGGGCCTGCGCCTCCTCATGCTTAAGTAGCAGCTCGGTTTCCTGAGGATGCTGCTCAGCAGAGGAGCTGCCGGGATAATCTCTCAGTAGGAGCCCCGTGTAAATCATGTTGGCTGGTAACACAACACAGCTGTTTCCAGCCCCCTAAAACTTCTGTGCAACCCATGTAAAACCTGTTAACAGGCTTTAAAACAGGGATACCAAAAGCTGGCAGAAGGCCATTCAAAGCTTTGACCAACCTAGAGAAGTGGTTTGTTAAGGAAAAAAATACTTTCAGGCATATTTAGCCTCTTTGTTGCACTCATTCCTTTCCCATGTTAGTTGTGACCATACACAGCACTGGATTATGGTGCAGCAGAGTGCTTTGACACAGAACAGTGGCAGAACGAGGGCTGCAATGAGTCAAGTAATGCTTTGCTCAATCAAGCAGTGGTTTCAAGCAGAAATCAATCAGATCAAAGTGCAAGGTGATGTTCCTCACCCAAGGCTGCTCTTAGTTTACAAGTACAATAGCTCATGCTGACTGTTTGGCTACTTGAGTACAGTTTGCACAAAAAGAGCACAACTGCTATCCCCATTAGGCTAGCAGAGATTTACAGTTTGGATTATTAGACGTCTGTGGTATTCAATAAGAGTACCTAATAGATAAGGAGTACTACATGTTCACACAAAATAAGAACCTGAACTTATTGAAAGTTCTTAATTAAACAGGTAATTAAGAGATACTCTGAGCAGAAGACTGATGTTTCTACATCATAATTTTGGTACAACTAAGAGAGATAAGAGTGTTCATTTGCCTGCATGAATGTGTGCTCACCATAAGACAGTTCAGAATGCAACTTACACATAATATGTGGAAAAAAGTAAAAATAATACAGCAAACAATTTTGAGTTCCTATTCTGCCTTAGGATGCTATCTTCTTAAACAGTATCATTTCTTTCCTCTTGCTCTTTTTCTTTACCACTTTCTTCTATCTGTGCTTGTTTTCCCACTTTTTTTGTAAACGCTTGTGCAATTTTTCTTCATTAATTTCTGTTCCAATTGCAGGATTTATCTAAATTGGCTTAAACAAAACAGAAAAAGAGTTCACAGTGACTAGGCACTATTTTGAATCAAAGTGAAAATACCAATTCAAGTGAAGCTGAAACAAATCAAGAATATCATGAGATGGTCTTAGTTTAATGTTCTATCTGAAGTCAGCAATGCAGTTTTGAGTTTAGACAAGGTCTCACTCAGGTGGTTTGGCTACTGTACAATTTACATGTAAGATCCCCAATGTTTTACTATAACCTAGGTTTTACATTCCTTTTATTCCTGAATATTAAAACCAAAATGTAACACATTTTTGATAATCAGGTTTTAGCATAGGAAAAGTGAAAGAGTATAGAACTCTGTTTTTGAAGGATCTTTAGAAAAACAACTATCCATGTATTAGCCAGAACAAAGGTTATAACTGTTTGTTTAGATGCAGTTAAAGGGATTAAGTTAAAAAAAAAAAAAAAAAAAAACAAAAGCTGCATAATAAATTGTTGCTGAGTAGACAACAATGATCTTCTACTGACCACTATGTGGACATATTGCCATACAGGAAAACATCAGCATAATATGACATTGTTATATCTGAATCAGAGGGCAACATCTTGTTAGCTCATCAGCAATTTCAACAAATAAAATGCTTGTGTCTCGCTTTCAGTGGGATTTCTCTTTACTCTATGGAAGCATCTGATAGAAATAGAGCCCCAAGATTCTGAACTGTAATTACCAATAAGTACACACTCAACGCTTAGTAAAAAAAAAAAAAAAAATTTCTAAAAAATATTTTATTATCCTGGGTAGTTAACAAGAATTTTGCATTTGTACCTAAGCCCTATATATTTTTGTTGTTTTGATTCACAATAATATTTTCTAGTCTATAATTTATATTTTTTTTTAAGTAATACTTTGTCATGTTGATCCCAGAAATTTTGCTTCTCCAGGTCTGCTGTGTACATTCCCTGTCCTTCGCCTTCTATCTTTCCTCCATGCTCTTGGTCTCCTTAACCTGTTGTAGAGAGCTGCTTTTTTCTTCTGGGCAAAGACACCTCAGTTTCCCCTACTTAAAACACCTATCATAAAAGTAGTATAGAACCTATGCAGTGTAAGCATGTTCAAAGAACAGGAGCCTTTTTCTTTTACCTTTATCACCTCACCTTTGCTTAAATTCAGATTAAGTGAAGCTTAAGTGAAGCTATCTAATTTGAAAAATCTACAGAAGCAAGAATTCAAACACAGAAATGCAAGAGTAAGTTTTATTGAATGATGAAAAACAAATGGCATTACAATTAAAGTTTGAGCTTTGCCAGAATACTAGTTTTCTCACTTTTCTTTAGCAGAAAGCGCAACAAATCAAGTTTTCAGAATGTTAATTAAACTAGTATTTATTATTTTTTCTTCAAAAACTGCATAGTTGAGCAGTTGTACAACAAATATATGAATTTCTGCAAAACCCTGAAGAAAGATTTACTTTTTTTTTTCTGTATTGAATCTGGTGGCAAAGGAGATCACCTGTATTGGTCAGATTCTGAGTGCTTTTTCCCTCTTTTCCCACTCTGTAAAAGAATAAAAACAAGCATATAGTTAATAAGTAGACTTGACATTTTCTATCTGCAGTTATTTTTTATGCTGAAGCAGCATCAATTAGCAAGGAAAAAAGGCTAGTTTTTTTAAACTACACAAACACTATGGGACATGAGCCCATCTGAACACCAGGTAAATAAATGAAAACAGTCGAGGTACTTAAATGATAGATAATTGACAAATTAGGTGAAAGGGACCTAGTTCAAGGCCACCTGCTGTGGGGCTAAGAAACCATCCAGCCTGCCTTTGAACGACCCCAGAGATGGGGGCATCCACAGCTTCTCTGGGCAGCCAGTGCCAGAGCCTTACCACCCTCTGAGAAAAGTATTTCCACCTTACATCTAACCTAAATCTCCCCTCTTTTAAAGTGCTCCCCCTTGTCTTAGTATTATCCGCCCACATAAAAGATGCTCTCCAAATATCAAAGATGACAGACTGGAGTAGCACTAGCATCGACTGGCTTCTTCGGCTCCTTTGCAGGCATCCTGTCTGGTCCTATAGAGCTGTGTGTGTCAAGTTTGTGCAAGTGAACCACAACTTATGCTTTCTATACCTTTGGTAGCACATCTTTTTTCCAAACTCTGGCAGTAGGCACACAGGCCTTTAACATCTGGTGATAAAAAATACACTTATTTATTTCTTATTTATTACTATTTTTTCTAATTTTTAACACACATTTTTGGTTTATTATTTTTTGAAATGTGTCCTCCTGATTCAGAACAATTTTCAATTAAGAAAGTGGGCACAGTATCATCAAAACACAATATCACAAAAATAGAAAGTGTCATCCTGGTCTCCATGCATAGATTGCAGTGGAGAATAATAAAAGCAGAAACAATCCCTGCATAGCAGATAAAACTATTTTCTTAAAAGAAGCAAATTAACAAGAAAAACGGGGGGAAAAAAGAAAAAAAAAAAAAAGGAAAAAAATTATTATGATGGATAAAGAAAGAAATATAGCAGGATTTGGAAAGATTAAATCATATAATAGAGGTGAGCAGAGATATAAAGAGTGGCAGGAAGATGATTTTGGAGTAATAATGCACATAATGAAGACCACATTTTTTAATAAAGTCTCTGCTGTTACTCTGTTAATCCTGCTTATTTTAGGTAATCAAAAAATAAATTCTTACTGAAAATGGTCTGGTTACAAATAAGTACTAAACGCTAGCAAAATACAATTGTTGTAAGAACAGTGATATGAATAAATTTGACAGTAACAGATTTACTTTATTTACAATATTATTTTCAATCAGCAGAATGTGCACTCAGCTTCACCATAAAGCTTGTCTATAAGGGGCTGAACTACCTGCATTTGGCACTGCTGCAGGACAGTTGTAAGCAGCTACTTCCTTACTTATGGTAAAGGACAGGTGGAGGAAAAGTCAACAGAAAAAGACAGGACACTTACTAACCAACATAATGCTAGATTATTTGTGTGGTGGAAGAAGACAAGCTACTGAGGCTACAGGACTATCTGAAGAGCTCCTATCATATAATAAATGCAGGCTGTCCCTGCAACCTACACAGAAAGTCACAGCCAAAGGAAAAATACTAAGACGTGCAAAGCCGTGGCCAAACACACATCCTCAATCATCCTGGGATCAAATATTTGCTGTTTTCAAAAAAAGCCAGAATGTTAAGCATCATACTATTTATATAGCAGTTAACATAAATTCACTAAACATCATTTCCATTAGTTACTGAAGATATTAGAAGTTGAACGTGCAGTCAGGAAGACAATGAATTTTAACATAACTTGATATGGATTTCCTACAAACATTTGTATAGAGGCAGAACTGTAAAACAGAAATGAGGAAAAAATGTGGCAAAAAAAGCCGCCTTTATGAAGTCTGTTGTTAGTGCACACAGACACAGAATAGGAAAAGAACATCTTGCTTTCACTATTTACCAGCACAGTTCAAGTTTCAAGGTACAAAACAGAATTCTACTTGCCAAATCTTTCTTTGTTTTTATACGATGTCCCTCTCCCCAGCCCAGTCCCCAACTACAGCTTGAACTAATTATATTTTAAATTAAAAAGATCAGTTACTAACATACTTAACTGTATGTAAAATAACAATACCTGGTATTTTGTTAATTCTGCCTGCAGCAGCTTCACTTTGGACCTTTCTTGCTCTAATGCAGCATGAAGTGTAGTTACCTAAAAATGTATAGAATACTGATTTATAAAGCATGCTTTACAATTTTACATCAGTGTAAGTCATTAAGTCATCAGTGATACATGCTGGATTCAAGGGGAAAAGCAAGTAAACGTGTGTGATTGCACATCAACTAAAGTACAAGTAAAATATTCTTTAACAACCATTATTTCCCACATAACATTTACAATATTCACTAGTTTACCTTACGTTACATGAAAGCCGTAAAGTCAGAAACTCTTCTGACTTTTGGACTTCGCTTTAATTTCTTCCACAGAACACTTAACTGATGCATATATGACACAGCAGAGATAAGATTAATACATCATGTTTAAAAATCAGTACCATGTTATATAACATTAAGTGGGCTAAAGGCTTAAAAGTAAGAATAGTAGCTGCAAACCAAAACTAAGCGTAAAAAGCTTGAGTGCTCTTCACTATGATGGCTTGCCAACAGTCACGTCTGCGAGTTATCGGTAGCTCACTTTTGTTCACAGACCAGCATTTTTCAAAGTAGAGACCAGAGATAGCAAACAGCAAGGAAGGGAGGAAGGAACCAAAACTAATGGCAGCAATAAAAAAATCCACAAAAACAACCATCAGGAAAGAAACATCTTTTGAAACACCTTTCAGAACTTCCTATCTCTAGTTACAAAGGGATGATATTCCGAATTTACTGTTGAGTGCAGAGTCTGCTGTCTTAACAGAAGAAAAAAACTAAGTGATTAGTAATAGCAGAGATACAAGTTCTCTGACACATACTGGGCTGGGCTAATGAATGTAACATCTTCTGGTTAAAGTTTTGGTTTCAGTTTCCTCCTATGACTGCCTTAACCAGCATTTTTTAAATGCAAAAAAAAATCCTTGCTTACCTGTAAGGTCAATTCATTTTTTATAATTTGCAATTCATCCACCTGTAGGAGTATTTCTGCTTTATCTTTCACTACAGAGAGAAAGAAACAGCATGAGAATTTTTCTGTATTTGCAGGTCTTCATCTGTAACAGCACTGTGATATCAGAAGTAATTATTAGTTGCCAGTGCCGTTAGTAGCAGCTCAGTAAGTTCTGAAGATTAAACCCCAATCTTGCACTACTTACCCATACTTAACCCTGTAAGCAACAAGGATTTTTAGAGACATTCACTGTGAAAGAAGTCCATAAGAAAATTTTGAATTGAAAGCTTCACGTGAGCCCAGTCACAGCCACAGAAGTTTACGCTAGTATTACATATCTACTTAAATACGGATCTGTTTAAATTAGTTAGCACCTATGAAGTATCTGTGGATAAATTAAAATTCTCAATATAAATAAAGTAAGCTTTTTTTAGGGCTCAATTTTGCCACGGACTGTCCATCCCATTGGAATATAGAATAGCCTCAGTCAATGCAAGATCAGATCCGTAAAAGCACAAAATTGCTCTCGTTTATTCTACATTAATACTCCATATACATAGAGAAAGCCTTCAGAACTTCACTTCTTTACTCTCACATGATGAAGACATTTCTTGACTCAGAGACTGACCTGAAGTAATAAAGTCTGATCAGCTAAAATTTGCACTGCTCAATCATCTTAATGTTTCAACCAGCTTAGCTTGCTTATAAGCAGACTTTACATTTAAAAAAAAAAAACCTAGATTTCTGAGTTAAGAAGGGCTAACTCTGACAATCTGCATTCAAGAGCCAAATGAAGAAATTGAAAAGCAAACACAATTTTGTAAGAAAATTAGTATCATAGACCGAACCAAACCATCATGCAAGATCAGGAATATTAAAGGATAATTATGCATAGCAAGTATAAATTTACTAGAATATTTACATACGTGGATCTAAGTATATATGTATGTATATATTTTTTTTCAATCTTTGACTGAAAATGAATTACAGGGAACTACAGAGTTACAACAGAGAACTACCAGAGTTTCACATATGATACTCTGGTTAGGTGTCCCTATTGAATGTATGGTAAAAGACTCTTGTCCAACAGTTTAAAGCACAGCTTGCATAGATACAAGAACTGAACATTTACCATTATCTGTGATACTTGATGCAAGATCAGTCCAGAACAGATCAAGTCATTAGCAATACACAGTTTAACTCAAAGTGTCACTAAAACCGTAACTGAGCAGCTCAAATTTCACAGAAAAGTATCAGAATGCAACGAATTTTTGATGGTATAATATCAGATATGCGTAGATATGTGGAGATATATGTAGTTCAAACGCGTTATTTCACTGGAGTTGCTGCAAATCAATAGCCTTCTAGTTCCTTATAGCTGTGCCCACTTATTTTTTAAAAAAGGATTTGAAAGTTCCTTCTAGGTTTTCATAAGAGCTCCCAAGTTTCCTGATGGATCTCTTACTTTCACCTTCCTGCAGCATCTTCAGAAGCTGTGCATTTCTTGCTTTTACTTCTTTATATTTCGCCTGTGTGAAAGAAAATAAATTATTACCTGTATACACTATAAAAAGGCATTCTTTAAAGAACCATGACTCAAAGGTTTCAGAATTGAAAATTATGACTGCTGCAGAGAATTAAAACAGCCAAAGTAATAAATACATGACAGGAAAAATGGGTTAATAGCAAAGTAAATAAATTAAGGCAAGCACAAGTTTTAATGAAATTTAGAATAAGAATGTTTCGTCACTGGGAACCACAATTTAGATCTGGCTAAACCTGTATATAGGCCCATTGCATCAGAAGCTTTAAGGCTTCTCCAAAAAAAAAAAAAAAAAAGCATATATCGCATAATTATAAAACTTTCTGGACAATATAAATGGTTTGTCATATTACTTGGTTAATAGGATAAGATCTCACTGTTCTACTGATAATTTTATAATTCACAGTTCTTAGTTACAGTTTCCTTATTAACTCTTTCCACCTCAGGAATTCCTCTTCTTCCTTTTTTTATTTATGGTTTTTAACTACACTTTTTCATAAGGCAGTCTTTTCCTTAACTGATTACCACTGTCAGCAGTAACCATATATCTTAATTGTAAACTTTCTTTTTCTGTCACAAAGCCGTTCACTAAGAAGTTACATATCCTTTTTTTCTTCAATAAAGAATCTACCACTTCTCATTTAATATCACATCGGATCTCAAAAAACAATCTTACTTCCCCCAAATAGTTGTTTACCTTCCAGTCAATTGCAAACATGAAAAAAGCTATTAGTATGGGTAGTGCAGTGCCCTTTTACTTAGTGCCATGGAACTATGCACATGTGCATAAGCTTATCATGTGCAGCTCCCCCAGAGTTAGTGCGTTCTTTGTTTTTGTTTTTTTTTTGAACATTCCTTTTAAACAGAACCTTCAACTCCAGTGTACCAAAACACTGTAACACAACCACAGACAATAATGAGAGTGCTTTCTAACAGATGCAGCATTTAAAGTTTCAAAAACATGCACTTATGCAAGACCTTTTATGGCCACAAGCAGTATGAGAGTCTCTAGATAAGTTTTGAAAAATCAAGCAGCTGTTTTTAAAAATCAATCATGCATCACCTCACCAATATCCTTATGCATTGTGTTGATTCTGCCAAATGCAGTAACGTGCTAATATTGTAAATCCATATCACTTTATAGCTCAAAAAAATTTCACACAGGGAGTCCAACTCTAGCGTGTGGTGAAAACAGCTTCTAGTGAAATTCATGCCTTTATTACTACAAGTAAAACTCCTCTGAAGCAAAAGAACACTTCCAGAATCAACCTGCTCAGTCTACCCTAAGCATGAATACAAGTCATACTAAAATAATTTGAAAGCAATTCCACACTACTTTATTTTGTTACAATATCTGTCACACAAGGATGTTTTGCCCTTTTTTCTCTAGACACTACCAAGACAATGCTAACATTACCTGAAAACATGGAAGCAACTAGTCATTTTCCCCAGATATTCTGACAATACCTTATAATTATTATTTTCCTTACGTGTTTTAGCATGTCCTGAATCCTATTTCAGTTTTACTTGTGTCTAATAGGAATACAGGACTCCATTCTTGCCATAATAAAGCTTTACAGGAGTCCTCTTAAACCTGACAAAATATTCACTCTTTCAGTGTTGTCTTTCAGCACTTCAGGTAATGGACTGAATCTCTAAAGAAAAAAATGAAAAAAAAACACAAAAAATCCAATCCTATATGTAGTTCTTAAATACAAGGAAAGCTTAGTGTTAGTTAAATATAAATTAAATAAATAAATAAATAATATAAATTGGAAAAGACCAAAGAAAATCCAACTTCCTGCTCCAAGAAGAGCTAACTTCTGAGTAAGGACTTTTTTTTTTTTTTTTTTTTTTTTTTACAATAAACAACACAGCAATACTAGAAGCAACTAGTAGCAGATTTACCAGAGAGGAAGTTTGTCTGGATGCTTTGTCTTGATTCTTCTAATTATTTTTAAATCCTTAACTTACCAAGAAAGACTACTTCACATGGTAGTAGAAGAATAATTTTGCTCTGTAAAGATAATCTGAGACCAAGCTAAACTATCTCTACAGATTATTACACACTTAGAATATGTATTAAGATGTGACTGAAGTTAGATTTTGTTTACTACTTGAAGTTATTATAAGCTACGTACCTCCCACTGAGTTATTATATTTTTAAGCTGCTGAATTTCTGCATCTTTCTTTTCAAGCTCGAATTTTAGTTGTTCTGTTTTTCCATCTTTCATACCACTCTCCTGTAAACAAGGAAGCATCATTTGTTAATAATGGAGCAATTTGAATTTGACTCCTGTGAAAGGCAACTTATTTCTTTTACTGTAAACTAGCATCATTGATGAAAATTAGGTAAGTATATCTGCACAAATGCCAGAAGAATAAATAAGAAATGCAGGAATGGGTATTGGCATGTTCTGTGGGGCAATTATTTGAATCACGCTGGATTTAAATATCTTTTCCAATAGACAAAAGTATTAAAAACAGTGTTGCCGGTTTTTAATATTTGGTTGCTTTTATCTTTGTTATTTTTAATTGTTGTTTATTTTAAGATTATCATGGTTTTGATTAGTGTTTTCTTCCACTTAGGTGCTCTTTTCTAATTGTTAGACACTTCTTCACTTGAGAGTGACTCCCCTTTTACATGCCTGGTTGTGCTCATGAGATGTGCAGTTATCTATTTCATTGCAACCAGTGAGCTGGTCTCTCCTTTTCTCTCTTTCAAGTATTTTATGAACATCATCTTCCAGCTTATGGAAAAATCCTCCATCATTCATCAGAGTCTGAGAAGAGATTGGTTCCTGTTAAAAGTAAGTATTGTAACAGATTTCCCTTCATACAAATTAATAATGAGATAAAAACAACATGCTTTAAAAATAGCTTAAGTAATGGAAAAAAGGACAACATTCTGATTTATTTATTTAAATCTCATAGATCCTGAGAATATTCTGACTTCCACCTAGAGAATATGATACTAAATGAAGAGCCTACAAATTAAAAGTCAACATTTAACTGATTATGAATTTGACAGAAACATGAAATTAGAATTTTATACTTTTGCACTATGCTGTCACTGATTTGTTTCACTTCACTGTCAACTATTCTTCCTGCTAAGTGTTTTTATGTTTGTGCACTGAGCCAGAGCATGATAGCATTACAGCAATTTCTTACCTGATTTGCTTCTCTTTTTCTCTACAAGTCTTTTTTTTTTTTTTTTTTTTTTTTTAACATTCTTCTACATTTTCAAGTTGGATCAAAGTTTGAGATTTTGAGAAAACTAAATAAACAGGCACTAGCTCTAAGAAAGCCAATGCTATATTGCCAAATGCTGTACCTACAGACATACATCTCTATTAAATACGCATCTGTAAAATTTTTCTAAATGCAAAGAAGTCAATTTGGAAATAGTTGTAGTTTGGCAATACAGAGAGTGCCTGAGTAATTACCTCCTAAACATAAGAAATATACTAACTCATTTAATAAAAAATTCAGACTTACCTCATGTTTTTTAGCAACATTATCTGAAAAGAACAGAAAGAAAAAAAGTACAGTAAGTCTCTCAAATCTTACATTGTTTGCTATTAAAACAAGCTATTTTGAAAACAATAGTGGAGTTCCTCAATGTTAACCCACCTCTAAAAGCCATGTTAAAAAAGGAAAAAAAGCATTTGAGGGAATGGAGCTTCTCCCTCACAAGAAAAGGCTGATGGAGATGGGTCCCTTTAGATTGAAGAAGAGGAGAATGAGGGATAACCTCATTAATGCTTATAAGTAAATACAGGGTGAGTGTCATGAGGATGGAGCCAGGCTCTTCTCAGTGACATCCAATGACAGGACAAGGTGCAACGGGTGCAAGCTGGAACATAGGAGGTTCCACTGAAGAAAAAGAAAAAACTTTTAAACAGTGATGGTGACAGAGCACTGGAACAGGCTGCCCAGAGAGACTGTGAGGTTGCCTTCTCTGGAGACACTCAAAGCCCACCTAGATGCATTCCCGTCTGATCTGATCTAGGTGTTCCTGCTCCAGTAAGGGGATTGGACTAGATGATCTTTTGAGGTCCCTTCCAATGCCTGACATTCTTTGATTAGAAGCAAGGATTACGAAGTATGGTTGGGGCTGATCTCTATATTGGTATCCCCATCCTTCTTACTACTAAAAACAAAAGCAGCATCCCTCATGCATTTGCTTCACTTAAAGTGGAAGACAATGACTTTGGTACATAACTTACTATTTGGTTGTTACTGTTCTTAAAGTCTATTTAGGCATGTTTTTCACTGTATATCTGAATGCCTTTCATTCTTTTGAATTAAGATATTAATGCTGTGCTATCAGTCTTTTTCCTATATTCAGATTCTCTGAAAATATTGTAATTAGATAAAAATATCCTTAGGAAGAAACCTTAAAAAATAAATTGTTTTCTTCCTTTTCCAGACTCTACCTTTATTTCTTCAGTAAAATCCACAACCTCTGCCCTACAGAAACAGATGAAAGAATTCTAAACATGTAAAAATGAGCATATACAAATACTTTCAATATTTAATGAAAGACAGTATTGAAGAAAGGCAAATAGTGACTTGCTATTACTCAGATCTGAAAAACTCAGTTGCCTGAGGAGACTAAACTCAGTACACCCCACAAAAATCAAAGAACAAACACAAAACTAAAACAGTAACATCAATTTATAAAGATATTACGTTAATCTACCTCCCACCCCAGGGATACATGAAATTATGTTTTCTGTAACCTCTTCCTTTTTTTTTTTTTTTTCCTGATAATTCAACTTGCACATTACATAATGAATGCTTAGCTTTTAGATTGTCTTAAATATTAGCTCCAACTCATTTAGAATTTGTTCAAACACCACATTAATGAACAAAGACAGAAGGGCATTTTGCTTTTAGTATACACACTATCAAAATTCCAAGTAGAACAGCTCACACGGCACGATAAGGCATACCTATATTACTTTCTGACTGAAAATCTTTCAGGGACACAGTGAGAGGTTTGTCTTTTCCTTGCTGGTTCTTTCTTTTTTCTTTCTTATTCACAGACTTTGACTGAGGTGGAGTACATTCACTGTTTTCATATTCCTAGAAGAATAAAGTCCTACTGGTATAATTTTCTTCAATTAACTTTTTTTTTTTTTTTTTTTTTCCCCTGAAGCATTATAAAGGAAAAATATGGTGATGATATACAAAAGGAAATTTTAGCCTCAACAGCAATTACAGGCTTCATATTGGTTTAAAGACTGTAAGGTGCCTATGAACAATTAAGCATCCATTCTGCTTTCTGAAGTAAAGTATTGCTCTTCACTAAACAGCAAAAAATCAAACTGAGAATATAATGCTGTGAAATGCAGGAAGGCAGAATGCTAAATATACGGCGTAAGTTAGCACTTCCTTTTTTAAAAAAAAACAAAAATAAAAAAACAACCAAGCAAAAAGCAGGCCCACTGTATCTTTATTTTATTCTCAAAATACGCTTACTCATCTAGGAGGAGTTAAGAGCTATTAGCGCACAGCAATGCTCTATCAGTTGACTTTATCTCCTATTAAAATCAGACAGGCTGTTAAATGATATCCATTTGAATCTGCACACCACCTCCCCCCACATCTGCATTAATATTTTTAACAAATTATCACTGTTCCAGATGTACAGCACTTTAAAGAGTGATTTACTTCACTTTTAAAACTCAATCTTCAAAGTTCTAATGTTGTCAAATCAGGATGAATCCTACAAATACCTTTTTGTGCTCTTCATATTCCAGTTTGCTTAGCAGCAATGCTTTTTCAAGATCAGCTTCAAACATTTCAGATGTCAGCTGAACAAAAGAATTAACATTGTGACTAGCTTGTTAACAACAAAAAGCCTCTAAGACCGCATTAAAATTTCTGTTCTGACACGTATACTGGCAGAGTTGGCAAAAAGCTTCATTAATACGATACATGGCATTATCAACAATAAAATAACTTGCTCTGTAAAACTGCATAATAGATGGACTACTGGGTATATGCTTACAAATATCTATGGATTATAGTTTCCACCCTGAAGATTTATTTATATTAGATCACTTTTTTTTTTTTTCCCTAGGATTTAGTCTAAAAGGAAAATCAGATGTGAAGGGATGAAAAGTGTCATCATAAAAGAAGATCTCTGTTCTGTGTAAGCATCCTCTGTTGTTTTTGTTGTTTGAAACATGGTACAGATAAGGTGATTTTCACCTTGAAGATGCATGTTTAAATAATTTAAATGAGAGGTCAAATTCACCAAAAACGCTGAATTGGAAAGCCATTTTCACACTTCAAATTCCAGCACAATTTATCCTTTTGATGCCATAAAGGACTTAATTTCTCTTTACTAATCATAACTTTCTCAGCATTCTATCTTGACTTAGCCACCTTCCTTCAGAAAAGTAAATGATGTCCCCATAATCAGCATCCATACTTTTAAGGAGTTCCCACAATTGGTGATGATTCAGTCCCTTGAACTTTATGAAACTCACAGCTTTGACAACAGTTTGCATGGCACCCATTTTTAAAACTTTTGCACATTAATTTTCTTGGTGCTTGATGCAATGATATTTCATCAAACCTGAGTTTCAGGTTGTGATTGCATCATCTTCTATTAATTTCTTTAGTCTTTTTTTTTCTTTTAAAAAAAATCAACCACCACAGAGGACACCATCAGTAGCATACCAGACACGTTGACAAAGGTTAAAAAATAAATCACATTAATGCAATTTTTTACTGCTTCATATGAATCAAGAGATTTAGCTGTGTCTTCAAATAGTACCAAAGAAGCCATTTCTTCACATTTGTTACCGATAACTCTAATGAAAATGGTGAGTTGAGCCATATCTGTAGTATCTGTACTTTCATCTGTTAACAAATAATAACATATGAAGATAACAGTTTTACTTTACAAAAATTTTTAAAAATAAATTTTGCTATTTTTTCAGTTCACCTGGCAGCATCACTCTGGTGAGACAAACTGATTTTTAGGAAAACCCACCTTTTTTTTTTTTTAAACCAGTATACATTGTATCTGTCATGCTTTCCATACATTGCTTAACAGAGTCACCACCAAGAAGGCTTTGATTTTTTTTTTTTTTTTTTTTCTCCAATCAAACTTGCTATCGTGCAACTAGCTTTTATAACAGAGGCCATTTGAGTTTTAACTTTGTAATATTTTATTGAGGTGACTTTTTTCAGTTCCAATATTTTGTCTGTAAAGCATTCTTGATACACATCAAATTTGGCAGCGTGTTTCTGCGCGCAGTATCTGTTCAAACTGCGATCTTTGACACAGCCTGCTTGCAAATGAAGCACAGTGCCATGCCCACGTCCCAGGGGCAGGGCGCTGAGTGGGGCAGAGCTGCTGCCGTGATGACACAGCAGCAGGGGGCGCGGCCGCAGCGAGAGCTGTGCTGGACCGCATGCCGCCCGAGGTGGATGTGTCTGCATCAATACAGTGATGTGCTACCAAATGGAGCCTCTTCACCACAGCTTTCTCCTTTTCATAGCCAAAGTGCTATTAATTAATCATTAACAACAACTACTTTACGTAGCGGGTTTTTGTTGTTGTTGTTGTTGTTGTTCTTTGTATTTTAAAGTAAGGTCCTTTACACGCATTCCACTTTAAGAGCTGTGAGAGTGAAAAATTGACTTAATTTGCCTACTGTACTTCAACCAAGCTGAACTGAGTAGTGTACACTAGCTATCTAATCCTTAGAGCTTATGAGTGGTCATATGCTTAAAAGTAACTTACTACATGCTGTAAGCACAGGCATTCTCTGAAATTCTTATTCCACAATACCTATAACCAGTCTTGTACACGAGAAAACAAAAAACCCTAGAAGACACTTTTCTTTGTTGTATTTTTTTGTTTGTTTGTTTTTATTATCAGAGTAAACTTAAGTAATATTTAGAAATGAGACGGTTAAAACAAAGTATTCTCAAACTAAATTGTCACAAGACTTCACATAAGCTTCAAGATGCTGCCACTCCTAACTTTGAGCCTAGTTTGTGGCTTCAAGCTTGGTAACAACTGTTACAGTGTTACAGTGGAGAAGATTTTGATGGAGGAGGAGGTAAGGAAAGACTTGTAAGGTGGCACCTGCAGGAGAAGGTGAGGGGCTGGACTGTGCCTGACACTGCAGCTATAGCTGAGACTATCAGCCCAAGCTGGTGGTGACACTGAACCAGCTGGAGGACTTTAGCACCCCTGTGAAACAGCTTAGAGAAGGGTGGTGAGAACTCACCAAGTAAACCAGCCTCGGAGGCCTAACAGGAGGAGTGGAGTAGCAGCTTGAGTGGGAGCCTACAAGTATGGTTTTCACAGGATTGCTACCACACCCTGGTCTCCCATCTTCTGCACTGCTCACAGCTTTACTAAAGGGACAGAGTGCTGCGCGCAGCAAGGAGAATGGAAGACAAAAAGTAGGGATGAGATGCTTCATAGAGGCAGAGTGAGGTTTTCTCTGGTTTCTTTTTGAGGATTTTTTTCCAGGGTGAGGTATTCTGTTTCTATTTGTTTAAAACTTGCCTGTTTTCTTTCAATACCAGAATCAGTAATGACAAGCTTGTTAACTGACAACAAATAAATTGATTAAAATTCCTCCAAAATCTGTGGACTGCTTTTGCCCATGGGAATTGCTGGATTCAATCTGACCATGGTAGTTATCCACCAAAAATTAGTAATTTCCTATTACTCTGAAAAGATCCATAGGAGCACAGAAAAGAACAGGAATGGAAAAAGGAAGAACCGAAAACAGAACAGCTGACATGAAAAAAACACGGTAAGCTCACAGTGAAGGTGAGATTGGCATTTATCACATACTTGTTTAGGTAATAATTTAGCATACAAGATCCTAAATTATCAAGGATTTGTACAGCCATTATGTTGTTACAAATATTAAACAAATATTAATATAGTGGAATCTCTAGTACAAAAATAATTTTATCAATTTACCTAGTAGTCATTCAATTCAGGACAGAGCTGAGGGAAGCTGGCTGTGTTTACAACAAAGGTTACTACTTCCAAAGCTGAGCTGCAGCATAGACTTTTTCAAAGACAGTCATCAATGCCAAGGCCTTCTAAGCATATTCAATCTTGCTTCTATTCTAAACAGACAGCTATAGGCCAACTATCACTGAAGCCTATACAAAATCCAGAAACCACATTCCTTTTCTCACATACTCGAGGCACATTTGATACCAATTTCTGGATACATGTAAAATCCCTCAAATTAACATCAATGCACAAAGCTCTTAAAGCAGATGACAGACTAGTATTGTGGATTACATGTATAAAATAGCTTTGTGGTTCGGACAAATCTAACTTTTGAATTCATGTAGACATCCAGAAAAGGAAAGTGTCAGCAGTATGATAGTTTGAAGGGTAAATATTCCAAAAGGAACACTTCACAGAGTAGAAGATGCAGCATCCCTTCCCACACTATTGTTATGGAAGCAGGGAGCCATGGTTTCTCATCTGGTGTTGGACATCACCTTTATTACAGTATATCATTCAAATTTTACCTCTTTATTGATATTGTATTATTTGACAAAAGAAACTGACTAGTAGTTCATGCCTTCTGAATATGAAGAATTTGAATCTGTATCTCCTCACTCTGGTAAACATGTAAATTGCAATTTGAGCCTACATGCTAATTGTGTTATTCAACACAGAGATTTTTCCAAGCCTTATAGTACAATCTGTGTAACTTCACAAAAAGGAAATCAAAAGTTAAGAACAATAACTGACATATGATGCAAGCTTGATTAAACTAAGGTAGTTGGGCAAACAAACCATTTTTTAAAAAGTGTTATAGATGTGCCATTTTGTTTGAGAGTTCTACATTTTTAAGTCTGCTGAACTTGCTTTGCAGCCAGTGCCCAGGCTTTCCCCTAATAAAATGTAGTTTTCATTTGCTTCAAACAGTTCTCATTTTCATCAACACAGCATATGCACAGTGTCAGATTTTAGTACATACAGCTATTCTAGAAATAGGCAGTTCATGGAAACTGTATGTAGATTCACACATTAAAATCTTTGATATGTGTGTGCTTTACATCCTGGGTGTGCACACTAGGACGATTGCGTCCAGCTCTGCAATAAAGAAATGTCAGCTTTCTAACCTGTCAATTGGGTTGACAAGTTCTGTTCCTGGATTTTGGTGACATTACTACTATGGTAATTGCTGTCCAGTTATTTTACAGAGAAAAAAAAAATCCAAGGCAACTTCACAGTGCATAGCCTAAATGTCAGTAGGATCTAAACGTTTATGATTGAGTTTACTTTGTCTAAGAATTTCACCATCCAATAATTAGACTAATATTCTCCTTTTTAACTGAAAAGATTGCTTCATAGCATGCAGAATATAAAAACATTTAAGGTACAGGTTTGTTTTGTTCAGTACATGAAGTAATTCTGAAGCTAATTAGCTCTGAAAATTTCCAAAGGAAATTTCAGATCATTACTCCACCAATTGGACAAGCATCCAGAGTCCTGCAAAACATTACTACATTTAAGGAATCACCTATAATCAAAGCATTAGCGATGTTAAAAAAAAAAAACAAAAAAAAAAAAAACACCCCAAGGACAGCATCTGTCATTTTTTGTTAACATAGCTTTCTACATTTTTCTCTCAACTACAATAGGAATCTTTTCAAGACAATATTTTCTGTTGAGATTGGAGATGAAAACCTCCATAAGTGAAAACAGCATCCTAGTAGCTGCTAGCATGCCAGTGTAGAAGTTGAATAAAAGTTTCAAAAATGCTTTTTAATTCCAGTTTGTGTTGGTTATTTGCAACTCTTCTTAAAAGTCTGTGCAAAATTAAGTACTCTGAAAGGCAAACCAAGGCAGTCAAAACTGCACTCTCCACAATGAATTGAGGTGTCAGAAGATATACATAATGAACTACATTAAAAGAAAACAAAACTGCATAGCAGACAAGTTCAATGATTAACATACTTCAGGAAAGCCGCAGGCAGTTGAATATAGTAAGCTGTACCTGTTCATCTCTTTGCCTCCACTCTTGCCAATTTTCTTCCTGAGAGTCTTTCTGCATTGTAGCATGCAGTTTTTGTTCATGCTGAGATAGACAACCTCCATGGGAGGATTTCTGAGGAATCTTTTTAAAAGCAAGGTTTCTGAGCTGAAAAACAAAATTCCATTTCACCTTAATTAAAGTGTTAATAAGAAAGAGCTTTAACAGACTAATAAAGGTATTCAGACACAGGCTAACAGAATTACATGTGTTTTACTCTTTTCTATAGTCTGGACTACGTTTTTGTTTAATCAAGTACAGTACATACCATAATACAGATTTTTTTCTTAATAGTAGATTAGAAACACCAGTCACACAACTTAAAATAAATATATCTTGGCAGGTGAAAATACTTTGAACAGATCTATGACATGCTTCAGTTTTCACATTGGTTCAGATATTACTGTGGGCTCACATCTGAACCAAATTAAATATCATACCAATGAACACGTGGTATAAAGTCCTGGTATCAACCAACAGAGGAACTAGAGGTTCTGGTAGGAAAAAGAATTAGGTAGACAATCTTTAAAGCTTTTCAACACTCTAAAATCAGTCCTATTTAAGAGCCTATAATAAAATTGCCTTTAATTGCTGCACCACATGGAAATAACAGTGCAATCTTAATTCTTTGCATAATTAAAAAGTTTGATAGTGAAAATCAAGTCAATTTGGGAACTCAGTGACATTCACTGGTAAAAGCACAGGCATTAGCACACATTCTGTTCCCTCTATTTCACACGCAGGCAGCACAAAAACAATCTAGTATCAATTTACAAACAGGAACTTCCTTATCCTGCTGTATAGTTTGAGCGACGTTTTTGTTTAATCAGACAAAGTACACACCAACTGGTACGAAGAACTATTTTGAAAAAGAAAAAAAAAGCAATTTGATTCAGTAGAATTCCTTTCACAGAAAGAAAAACAGAGACTTCTCACGGTCAGGAAAAAAAAGGGTTTTTAATCAGATAATAATACTATCCACTGGTGGAATTACAACCCTTTTACCTCATTGGCTTCACTCTGCTGCTGTTCTTTCTTTCTTCTCCTTTTCTCTCTTTTTTTCTCATTTGTAGAAGATCTACCCTCTAACGCTTGAGATTTACCAGCACCTTGGCCACTTCTGCCTTTTCCAGATTCTGAATCAGTATCACTTTCCAGTTGCAGTAAGGCAAAACGAGATGCAGTGGTAGGAACTGAATTGATCACAACAGATGCCATTGCTATGTCTGAACTTCTACTCAGCTGCTTCTCTCACTGAAGAGTTTCCTGGGAAAGTAGCAAAGAATTGAAAGTGAAAACATTATTGATAAAACAAGTGGTAATCTGATTCTGTCACCCACAGAAGTTTTGTCTCAGAAAGTACAAGACAGGATTGGAATTAAAAACAACCCCACCACTTCTTTGTATTTTAACTACATTGTAGTAGCTTATATCTGAAGAATGACTCTATAAAGAAAAAATATCTGTTTTACAGTTTATTCTAAGCTAATGCATTTGTTTCTGAGGGACTGCATTTAAGGGGGGGGGGAAAAAGCCCACAAGTAGTCAGCTGTAAACAAACTGGCCTTCATGTTCTAGGGGGAAAATGACACAACAAAATAGTGTACTGCTACAAAATAGTTTCAAATTCTGTCCCACGTGAGAACCTACAGAAGACTCAGGCTCCTTCTAATAATTAACTCCAGATTTTCTCAAGTACAGACTTCTATTGTAGCCCCAGTATACTCACATATATCAACAGGCAACAATAACAGCATAGCAAAACCCGTTACCTAAAAGAATTATTTAAAAGGAATATGACATTTCACTTTTCAAAGATGAAGGAACCAACGTGTAAGCTCATACCGCTCTGTTCAAGTTCACAGAAGTTACAAACAGCATTTCTGAGACACAAAGAATTGTATGACATACATATCAGACATAATCCTACTGCACTTCTTTCAAAAAGAAAAAAAGATAGCAAAACCTGGCATGTTTTCAGAATAAAACATACCGTGTGACAAATTGTGAATCTACCTGATGCTGATGTTCAGATTCTTTGATCAGACCACAACCACAGACCTAGAGAAAAAAAAAAAATACAAAAAAAAACACAGGTCAAGAGCACCTAACATATAATATCTTGTCATGTTTTAAGTGACAAAAATAGCACAGTAAATACAGATTTTGGGGCACATACATCTGTATGTGTAAAAATATGCAGACATTTGAATATATTTTAATTCTCAGTAACCGTATAGTTATCCAGCTTAGGAGATTAGTTAGAAACGAGAGACTCTGTACTCTTATTAACTGAACATGCAGTAAAATTGGAACCCGAAGATTACAAATGCATCTTCACAGAAAAAAAATAAAAATAAAAGGCATCAGAGACAAGTGCTCAGTTGTGCTACACAAAAACTTACAATACTGGATGTTGCTCTTGGCACTAACCAGGTAACACTGAAGACTGCAGACACCTCACTGTATTCGACGCAAGAAAATAAGCTAGTGAAGTACAGTACTCTTCTCAGTAAAAGCCTAGAATTTCCAATCCCTCTCTATTAATTGTGGTATATGTCTTATTTCATGCAAACAGTTAAATGGTACAACACATTATTAAAGTTCACGGCAGCTAGTGGTGGCAGATAACCTCTGTTTACCCATGCAATCACAAACCATCACATGTAGATGAAAATCTGCACCATCCTGAAATATGACTGCAAATTCCTTACTCCTTCATCTACAAATACAATACAGTAAGTATACCTTTGCTCTCTTAATGTAGTTGGCATGCAGTAAAAGTCCAGCTGACAAGCGTATTTAATAAGTACTACCCATGGAATTCTACTGTTACAATTCACTGAAATACAATGGCAATGACAAGATAACAGAAATGTTTATTCCTCAGTTATATTTATTTATATAGAATAGAAATAGATAGAAAAGAGCTTATAAAGGAAACAGCAACCACATGAGATCACCAGTTATTTTTTTAGTTAAGACTAGAAAAGCTGTTAACATTGCTAATTTAGTTAGTAGGACATTTCAATACAACTATTCATATTACAGCAGGATCTAATTACCCCACTTCTGCAACATTTAAAGATAGATACAGCGATTCACTCCAGCCTGCCACCATGCCAGGCTTCAGATTTTAATATCACATCTGCAAATCTGATAGATAATTTGTTTTAAGTACAGCATTTCAGTTTCAAACTTTGGTTCCCGCTGCCCCCGCCTCAGAAAACCAGTGAATGGACAACTAAAAAGCTTTCAGCTAATGACAGGCACTTGCTAGCCCACAGACACATCTGTCTGTACCCCTCTCAGTTTCTCCCCAACCCCAGTACAGAACTGCAAGCATTCTTCATTACTATAGACAATCAAAATAAATAAAAAGCACTGCATTCTTGAGCTTGAGACATTGCTTAAAGAAGCTTTTAGATTGCAAAAAGAAAGAGTTCATGTATCACAGAGAGTTTTGTCGCTCCACAGACCAAGCAAAGAACAGAAACATCACTTTGATTTTTTTACAGTAAGAGCCATGAAGTCTGGTAAAATTTGGGAAGTAACAGTCTGTCACCCAAAGCCTGTTTATCTAAAAACAAGATATTTCCTTTTCCTACTACGTAGATTACAGTGAAAACCTACAAGAGGAGGAAAAGGAAGCAAAACGTGCTTTCAAGCATGTGGTACTGTTTCCACTTGTGTTTTGTGCCAGCAATTATATTGTCACAGATTTCAGAGAAGATTCCAGTGTCCCATAGTGCTATTACTCCTGTACTATTAGGAGATCACTGAGCGATGGATTTCCAAGTTGCAACATCATTATTGCACACATAGACAGGCAACACCAATTAATAACTCCACTTCAAAGCCTTCTGCTTTGCATATCACTAGCAGACTGAGTCTGTGCAGTCTGTTCCAAACTGCAGGAGTTGTTTGAGACTGTACCCATTGTGCAGTTTTATGCGTCACAAACTGAAGATAAGCACTATACATATATACCACATAATTTTAAGGCAACACAGAAGCATATGTTATTACTATCAACCATTAACTTGTTAGCGTTTTATTTATTGGTTATACTCTTCTACAAATCACATCAGTCTCCATGAGCAGATTATTATTACTGTAACCAGAGTTCCAGTAACTTGGAATCTTTACTGTATTGGTGACTCACATTAACCTATAAAGCATGCCAGGCAGCTTATGAAATATTGTAGTTTTAAAGGCTACAGTGAGCTGCCCAATATACATGCTAAGACACTCACTAACTCAGTTTGAACACCAGCAACTTGCTAGTCTGGGTGCAGCTTTGCATATGAATGCACATATAACTGGTGAGGGTTTGCCCACCACTAAGAATCAAGTAGTATACCACCATCTAGGAGACTCCAGGCCAATTTCAATAGCACACTTTCAAGCATCTAGGGAATTACAACAGTTTTAAATGTGGTGCTCTACTATTCCAAGGAAAACACGCTGAAGAGCTCAAAAACACAGTTTCCTTTTAACCCTCTTTCACTTAATAAAGGCACATTTTCAGAAACTTAGAAAACAGCATCTTGCTATACATAATCTTCCTGCTTCTTCTACTATTAATACAGTATTTGTGATCATCTGTAATTACTATACAGGCTTAACAAACATGATCAACCTCAGTATTTGCCTGCAAACCTGAGACATCATTAAGACACACAGTACTCATTGGTGTAAAGGCATAAGTCCATTCTCTGCCAGCTCAGACCAAGTGTTGCTCTTTGTGCTCCTGATCTATTGATCTTTGGCCATTGGTACATTTATTACAACAAGCCCTATATCAACCAGCGCACTTACAGAGAGTTCTGACCCACCCAGCCAGATCACCAGCTTTCCTTTCTTCAGTTACCTTTGTATCTGACTATGCAGATACATCAAAGCATTCTAAATCCACGAAGTTACTGAAGCCAACTCAAGCCATCCACTTGTCAGTGAGCTCCCCCAGTAACCTCAGTGCCATACAGCCTGCTTCCAAAACTCACACGAAAGCTGCAGCTCCGGCACGCGCAGCGGCCACCGATGCACAGCATTTAAAAGGCAAACGGGTTATGGACGAATTTACCACAGCGATTCTCAGAAAGTAGGCGAGTTTGAGAGAGGGGAACGTTTTTATAAATCGTTCCTTAGGCTCAGGGTGAAAGCGCAGGAGCGACCAGGCAAGTCTGACTTTCACTTCCTTACAGCACGCTGACGAAGCTCGCTCTCCGCAACTTTTGCTCTCCCTTCCCCGAAGAAGTTAACGGAGAGCGAGTTACCGCATTCTGACGGACCCGCGCCCAGCACCCCGGGTGCCGCACGCAACCGGCGCACACCGCGCGGCGCGAGGGGACGGCGGCCGCCGGCAGCGCTCCGTCAAGGACAGGGCAGTCGGGACGGAGCGCCGCGGAGTCGCACGGGGCGGCACGGCCGGCGACGGGGCTGTAAACCCGACCCGGGCCGCCCACTACAGGCGCACGGACGGGACACACGAGCTGCCTCCCGCCGCCGCCCAACGCGCCCCGGGACGGACGGAACGGCCGGCGCTCCACCGCCGGGACCCGCTGAGGCCCGCTCAGAAAGAGCCCGAGCTCTCCTTCCACGGCCACCGGCCCGCCGCGGGCAGAGCAGAACAGGGCAGCCCCGTCTCCGGCCGGCACCGCCGCGGGCAAAGCGGGAGGAAGGCAAGGCAGGCGGCCGACAGCCGCAGAGGCAGCGGACGGACGCGACCCGCAGGACACTCACTCCGGTCGCGGCGACGCTGCGAGAAGGCAACAGAGCGACCACAGCCCCTCGGCGGGCGGCTATAACGGCCTGGGGGACGGCGAACGGCAGCCGGACTCGCGCGGCCAGGGGGCGGAGCGCGGCGCGGAGGGGCGGGGCGGGGCGCTGCAGCGCGGGCCGCACGTTTGTTTATCGGCCGCGGCCGCTGGTTGGCCCGGAACTGCGCGGCTGCGTCACGCGCGGCGGCGTTACGGCCGGGCCGGGCCGGGCCTCGAGGCGGCCGGGCGCCCTTTACGGGATCCTGCCTGGGTCAAAATAACCCAGGCAGGGTCAAAATAACTCCGCAACGGCAGAGTCGAGGGGGGAGCGGGGCCGGCCGCCAGGCTCGGCCCGAGTGTTGTGGGGCGCAGGCGTGCTCCTGCCGCACGTGTGCCCGCTGCCCGCTTCTCGTGCGGTGGCGGTGAGAGAGGCCTCGGCGCCAGGGCTGAAGTAACGCTAACGGCAGAGAGCCTGGTGCGGGGCTCGACTCCACTCTGGTCTCCGTAAGCCATGGAGCGATTTACCTGCGCCAGCTGACGTGAAGCGGGAGCCCAAATCCTTGTCCGCTGACTAGCTCCCTCGGAGAGATGTTCTCTGTCAGAGGCATCGCCATAAGAGCGGAGTCGCGGCTGTCCCAGTAGGGGAGGTTTCAACCGCGCACAGCACTGCGCTGTCACCACGGCGTCCCGTCCGTCTGGAGAAACAAACCCACCCACCGCCCGAGACCTCCTGCGCCCACGGCCGCGTACCGCAGGGTTTGCCGTTCATCAGTGATGAAAATATATAGCTAATGGTAGTGCATATGTTGAAAATTAGTGTTTTGTACCTGAGAATTTTGAGAATTTGCTGTATGAAGCAGCGTTCTTTTACTCTTTGGATCTGTTGTACTCAGCATACAAATAAATAAAAAGTATTACTTTTGGAACGATCAATATGTGGCTCAAAACAATTCCTCTTCACTCAGTACTGCCCAGACAAACCAAAAGGTTGGACTAGAGCTTTTGCTCTACAGCGTCAGTAGACATCTACTACTGATCGAACTGTACTTTCTTAAATTTACCTCTGCTTATTTTATGTTCATCAAGAACAGGCTTTTCACTTCTGGAAACTTAAAAACAAAACAAAATAATATTTATTTGTAGAATAGTGTGAGATATATGATAATGTGCAGTATTATCCCTAAGCAGAAATGCTTTCACAGTAATTCTTTCAATTAATGTGGAGATGCAGTAAATAAGTATGCATTTTAAACAGTATTTACTTGTTTCTGTTTATTGCTTTTTGTCTACAAACATGGAGTGAAATATACACTAATATTTAACATTAGTAAGACTGTTGTTACTTCCATGAAAGTAAAAACAATCAAACAAAAAAAGACCCCAGTCTTTATCTCACAACTGAGCTGAACAAGAGAATATAATGCTAACTGTGAATGATGCAGTCATTTGACTTGTTAAATGGTTTATCTAACTGATTACAATATAACGTTTTGCAGTCTACTCATAAAATCTAAAATGTGCCACAAGACATTAGGTCCATTTATCATGCTGTTAATATCTTTGTGATACAGACAAAATTGTTCTTTGCTTGCAGCATGTAAAAATGCAGCTCTTTCTTATCTATAGACACATCTGCTATATACAACAACATGCCCAGACAACAGCAGAGTAAAAATTATTCTGCTAAATGTGTCTAATAACCCACATTTCAAACATGACCACTTGAAGTCCACTGCTGAAATAAAATCTATTTTATTTTCAGAAGTTCCTCTTTTTATGCCGGAGAAACTTATGGATAGAAGTGTCAAATTCATTTAATTGTGGTCCTTCTGTTGTCTGCATTCAAGTCTGTGCAGCTGTTAAGCATATACTTCTCAGTGAGCACAGTACACATACAAAAAAGATTTGCTTTGATTCCTAAGCCGCCTACCAACAACAAACTAATGGACCTGTTTAGTCCTTTCTCTGAAGCAGATAAGAAATCCAAAGATCTGTGTTCTAAGTGGAAGGACACAAATAGCAAGGACAAAGAAAATACTGTATTTATCAATCTAGCTTCCCTAGAAGATGCTGAAGATGTTTTCTTTTTGTTTCTTTTTTTTTTTTTTTTTTTTCCTACTCTAGTAGTACACAAGCAGATGTCACATATTGAGGTTCCCAAAATTCAATTGTTAAAAAGCTACAATAAACAAAGTTGTAATATGAAGTAAGCAGTTATCTTAATTTCACAAATAGGCCATAACAACTATTTTGCAAATAAGAATTATTTTTGGAAGGAGAGGAGAGGGACAGGAGGGAGAGTAAAACTTTCATCTCATACAATAAGACTTTTAAATAATAAGACTTTTAAATACCATTTTAAAAAAATCTTTCACATTCAAATAACAAATTTATCTCGAGGCATCAATTTTGATCTCAGGCATGGTTCGCATGAAATGTGTTTATGAAAAAAGCTTAAAGAAGCCAGTCATTATCAATACTGGGCAAGATTCTGGAAACGGTATCTTCTAGCTATATCTTGAAATAAATTAAGTAATTCACTATTGTTTCTGACACAAGAGAGTAGAACGTTGCTCTAGGAAACCTAAATTACACCAGTACAGTGCACTTCACAGTGCAGTCTTTGAAAAGCTGTTTTTTTTTTTTTTATTTTCCAAATCGGTGAGAAAAAAACTAAAATCATGTAATTTCTACAGTGTTAAAAGGACTTTGAATGATATGCCCATAGATACCATGTTAGTTAAAATCTAATATTCACTGAAACTGTGTGAACATCACATATACCTACTAGCCAGAAGAACCAAAACAGACTTACTGGTTTATCTGCGGCTACTATGTAACAAGATCATCAACAAGGAAATCTAGCAACATTGCTTCAGAAGCAACAGACACTAAAAATGCAATAAAGAGTAACTACCTCTTAGTGGTACTACTTTTTGCCCATTTCAGTGGAATCTGGAGCAATAAAACTGACACCAGCCCCAAGGCTTGAACGCCTCAAAGATAATTCAGAGGGAGGGATATGACGTAACTCTCTCCGAGATAGTTTTACAGGGGTTACTCCTTGAAACTGTGTTACAGTCTCTCTTCTCTGGATGACAGAAGGTAGAAGAGAATGAGGCTTCAAAGGCTGAGTTTCCTCTTCTCCTAGTCTGTCATCAGCCATGCTTGACAAGCATTCTTTGTTGCATCCAAATTCTGATACTTCTTCTCCAAGCTTGTACGAATTCTGCCGTGCTCTTAAAACATTTGTTCTCTCTGCTTCTTTTATTTTTCCTGCTTGACTATGGGTTTTCAACTTGAATTCTTCAGATGCAACTTCTGCTTCATCTTGACTGGATGCCTTGTCACCAGCATTGTTATCTAAAATCAAATTTATCAGGAGATACCTAAGTAAAAGTCTGACTCTCTGAGTACGTGACATCAGGAAAAGTTGCTGAACTGGTATGGTTTTACACTGTGTGTAACCTGTAGTGTGGTCATCTGAAGTTAAATTAGTCTCACTTTTTGTCACAGAATAACAGCAGTGCAGAGTTGGAAAGGATCTCAAGAGATCACTGAGTCCAACCCTCTTGCTAAAGCATGCATAGGTCACACAGATAGGTGCCCAGATGGGTCTTTAATCTCCATAGAAGGAGACTCCACAGCCTCTCTGAGCAACCTCTTCCTGTGCTCTATTACCCTTACCATAAAGAAACTGTTCTGCATGTTTTTATGGAACTTCCTATGTTCAAGTTTTAGGCCTTTGCTCCTTGTCCTAGGTGACACATCACTGAGAAGAGCCCGGCCACATGCACCTGCCTCCCATCTACCTTTAGGTACCTATAAGCATTGATAAGAACTCCCTCCCCTCAGTCTTCTCCACCCCAGGCTGAACAGACCCAGGTTATTCAGTCTTTTCTCACACAGGAGATGGTTCCATCCCTTTATCATCTTTGTGGCCCTCCACTGGAATCCTTCTAGGAGACACCTGTCTTTTTTGAACTGGGGAGCCCAGAACTGGATACAGTGTTCTAAATGTGGTCTCATCAAGGCAGAGTAAAGTCACAGAATCACAGAATCACAGAATTGTAGGGGTTGGAAGGGACCTCCAGAGATCATAGTGTCCAACCTCCCTACCAAAGTAGGTTCCTTACAGCAGGTAAAGAGGCTGGCCACGACCTGCTGGCCACGCTCTTTTTAATGCATCTCAGGATACCATTGGCCATCTTGGCCACCAGGGCACACTGCTGGCTCATGGCCAGCCTGTTGTCCACTAGAACATCCAGGTCCTTCTTGCAAATCTCAGCTCCAGCAGGTCATTCCCTACCTTATACAGATTGTGTAGTTAATGCTCCCCAGATGCAAGAGTCTACATTTGCTCTTATTAAACCTCATCAGTTCCTTTTTCTTTAAAAGCTTGTTGTCATCTACAAAAACATCAGAGGGAATTGCTTTCCTCTTACTCCATTACTTTCCTCTGACTCAAAGCTTGTAATACAAGCTTCGTGATTCTAACTTGCAATGAACACAGTCTTAAAACAACTCAACCATGACAGTCTAATAAAAAAAAATATTTCTGTTTTCAAAAGCAGTCTGCAATTATACTAATAGAACATAGAAAATATATTCTGCAAATGTGACTTTAAGGTACATGGAAGTTTTAAATTATGTTTAAAGTTCACCAACAATTTTTTTAAATTACATTGTATAATGGCTCAAAATATATTCCTATAAAAAGTAACTAAAAATAATTATACAAAAATACAGATCACTCTTTACAAACATTGCAAACATAAGCATTTGTAAAAGTTGGAAATTCAAAGGGATCTTCCCTTCCCTTTTGCACTTTGCTACAATTTGGCTAGGATGTGTGTCTCTTCTCAGGGAAACATGTCCAGAACTACACACTTCTTTGTGAATTAAATACAGAATGATATTTCTCATGCTCAGTTATAATCCAGCCTCAAGAATATTCGTGCTCACACCATCACAGTGTACTTCAGAGTAATTAACCTTATTTTGCCTTGGGGGCTGAACCTGAGAGCAACATCTGTGATCAATATATGTGGGCTAGAAGACACAGTATTATCTCAAGTGGAAAACAACAGAAGCATCAGTTGAGAGGAAGACCCAGTTATACTGAGCTTTGAAAAGAAACACAGAGCCATTGTGCATGTGAGGTGTTGTTTGGTGGTACCATTGTGAGGTGTGAAATATCTAAACTGAATCTTTTTTTCCTCATCATCTCACACAGTGTTATTGCTAGTTGTTTTTGTTTGTTTGTTTGTTTTTGTTTTGCTTTTTTTTTTTTTTTTTACAAAGCACAGCTATCACATTAGAAAGGTTATCTTTTTATTACAAATGTCTTTTAGCCTTTATAAAAGTACTTTTTAAGTTTTGAAAGTATGGAGCTCTTCACAGACCATCTCCCAGTAAGTAATTTCTGTGAAATCAAGTGCTAGCAAGAATTAAGTTAATTAAGGTCTTAAAATACTGAGATCTGAGGTGTGGCATACTACAAAGCTGTTAACTACCTTGTCATTCACAGACACTCAGGCAGCAAAATACCATTTTCTTCATCACAACAGTGATTAATATGTATTAATATATATAACTGCTGAAATTACACTAGAATACAGAGAGAAGTGAACAAGAATGTAGAACACTGATTGATAAATACTACTGCT